ATTAAACAGCTATGAAAATACACCCCCAAAAAGTCAAAATCAGCACTTTTATTCTGAGAAGACTTATTTCAATCTGATACTCATATGAATAAATCTTTTCACCCATAGGCTACCTTCAGCAGGGGAAAAAAATAATATCTATATTTACCCCTAAGGCAAAAAATACACAGAAATACAATAAGTCACAGCTTCGTTTTAAAATTCAACTATTATATCTGATTATATAAGCCATAATTTTAAAACATATTTCTTAAAAGCTTTAGCTTCCTCACATTGTGCTCCATTTAAACAAAATTTTGTTCCCAATTATACTGCCTTCCGGGCCTTCTGCCGCTAAAGGGATTGGAGACATCCAAGTTTCAAAACAAAACAAAATACAAACAAACAAATATATATTTTATATATATATATAAACTGAAACTATATATATATAGTTTCTCCGAGGCCAAGATAAACAGGATATAAAGCTCTTGCTCATGTCTGGGTTTTTTCCCCATAGGGGGAATCTGCTATGGGGGACCCACAGAGCCCCCGGGGCGCCCGGTCGGGCCCGCGGTGCGGCAGGCTCCACTGCGCTCCCTCCTGCAGGAGGCAGGAGAGCAGAGCACAGGACACAGGCCATGGCCTGTGGGTACAGTTGGGCCTCGCTAACGGCCTCGTGCAGGGCCACAGCCCAACTGCCTCATGCAGGGCCGAAGCCGTCACGGCTCAGACCCCTCATTGCCCTCCCTGCTCAGCAGACCCGGGCAGCCACGACAAGGGACGAGGACAGGCAGGGCCTCACACTCCGATCCTGCTAGTCTCAAAATAAATGGAATTTCAAAGGCCTTGGGAGGCTGGCAAGGCCTGCAGCTGGGTTGTAAGCAGGCCATTCCCCACAGCAGCTGTGTCTGCTACACTGTGTGGAAATATATTTCCCCTTTATTTTTTATTTTATGCCAGCTTCGAGGAAAGCTTCTCGTGAGCACGCAGCCACCACAGCCACTCCGCACTCCAGTGCACTGGAACATTTGTATCTCACTATTAGCCAAAAAATTCTAAGGGCTCACAGCCCCAGTTAACGCAACTGCAGCACCCCAGGACATTGTCAAGAATGTAGCCGGGCTACAGTATTTAATTTTAGACATTTTAATAATATAAATTGTAAGGTAAATACAGGCTGTCGATAAATTCTTACCATCTTCACTGGCAGCTATATTTTATCTTAAATTGCAGTCAAAGCATTGTTTTAAGAGATGGTCTGAATACTACATATTAGGTTTTTAAAAAAGAACTACCAGTAGAAGTGCTTCAGCAAGTCTTACATACAAAAAAACTAACCAAACACAGAGCTGCCATCTCGATTATGCAGCTTACTGACCACCCAAGACACGCCTCCCTAGGATGCGCTTCCCAATGTGAAATCCAGCTTCCACCACTGAAAAAATGATCCATTAGGTCACTCACTTTTTTAAATGCTTTAATCCCACTTGGACAGATTGTTCTATAGATTCATTAGTCTCACTTTCATACCTATAACATGCCATAAGGAGAGCCCCAATGTGCATATTTCAGAGCAGTTTGCTTGGTGACAGAGGAAGACCATTAGTTGACCTGCCCCCTTCCACCTTCCCAAAACTCTATGCACGCTCCTCAGCATCCACAACACACCACAAAGGCTACAGATCTTCCAAGTCTTTATTCGTGCTCTTTCACTGTGATCATCACGGCAGCCAGTGCTAAGGCAACAGGCAAGGCAGTACCCTGCTTGCAGGATACTGGATTTTATTCCGCTTGTCTTCAGAATATAGTTTACCTAAAGAATAATACAGCTTGCATAAAGTTAGACTGAACATGCATGCTTACATGCATACACAATACAGTATCCAACCAAAAAATTACAGTTGATTTCCCAACTTAAACACCTGCCAAACCTTGCCCAGACTGAACAGCATTAATATCAGAACTCTCAGCCTTAGCCAGATCTAAACATTATATGAAGATCTGGATCTTTACATATAAAGATCTGGATCCACAGCAATTATAAAGACTGCAGAGCAATGGGTTTATTGTCTTTACATATCACCGGCAATGTCTTTAAAAAGAAGAGTCTGCACACTGAAAAATCACTGAACTCAAACAACAGTCTCCTCTGAAGGAAAAGGAGAACAAGAAATGAGGGAGATAATGCTTAGAAAGAAGGAAATTAATTACTGAGACATGGCTGGATAACAGGATATGGGCACATCCAAAATACAAGCTATTTGTGCATGAACTGAAAGACAGAGCTCCCAACATCTATCCTACCTCTCACTGCAATCGTGACTGCGAGAAAAGCCTCCCTATACACGTTCCTCTTCAGGGCACTCATCTTACAAGTCATGCTTGGACAAACAGTCGGGAGGCAGGGGAGAGGCATGTGGCTCTGCTTCAGGAATTGTGTTCTGCTGTCCTCTAGTGGCACTGCCACTTGTTTCACCAAACTGGGGTTTCAACTGCAGCCTTCACACGCTAGAGACCACCAGGCACCAACAGAAATTAAAAGCCAGACCACGTTTTGCAGATGATCTCTAGCAGTATCTCTTATTTACTGAATTGCTTAAACTAAAACTCACACGAAAAGCTCTGGGATTTAATAGTTTAATTACAATATTTACTAGAGGCTGCATGACAACAATATAGTCAACAATATTTAAGGCCATGGCTACAATATTGTTAGTATTTTAGAAGTTAAGTTACTATACTAGCTGGGCTTTTAAATAAATGTTTTAAAATGAGATTGAAAGAAATAGTTTTCACAGTTTTTCCAATATGCTACTGTAAGAGTAGCGTATCTTCCAAGTTAAAAAAATAAAATTAAATTACACAGGGTATGCCAACTCCACAACAAAGTACAAGCATTATCAATCAGATTTTCTTGATTTTACTTTACTGCAAGACAAGAATGCAGAGGCTGCAATTTCTGTTCCACAGTAGGATGAGGTGCAAATGAAATCCTGCATGAGGAGCCCAGGGGTCTTCACCATTTAAATCCATCAGCATCTTGCACTTCTGCTATGGCTTTCCAAGAGTACAGAAGAGTTATGGGACACTTCAATATTCTTCAGCCTCTGTCCTCAACTAACACTTTCTTTTGACTTTCATATTTATTTTTTGTGCCACAAAATAATTTGATTTCAAAAGCAAACAGTACTGAGCAACCCAGTTTTAATTACAGCTTAACACATGGTCTCCTAATTAGCCGAGATATTTAATTTAGCTTTCATTCCACGCAATTATACACTCTCATAACCCATGAAACTTCGTAATTATCCCTAACCTCATTAATGACGACTATTAAACCGCAGTTAATTTTTATTAAGTTTATAGGGAAAACATGAGTTGCTCTCATAATAACTGCTGCCACTAAAAACAAATGAAGTTTCCTACCCAACAGTAGCTTATTTACTTACTGCACAGCATATGCAGTACGTGACACTATTATTTTCCTCTGTTTCAATGGTTTCTTTGATGCCCTTAGCTGCAATGTTGGAAGCAGATTTATTTAGTGAACTTCAGGACAGAGCAGCTCCGAGCACCTGCCCCAGACGGCAGTGCAGGGCAGAGCAGAACCTCCTCTGGCCTCTCTCTCAGGGAAGGAGGCAGAAACCACCCCCAAAGCTTTCCCTGCAGGAGGGATCAGTAATTTCCACAAGCTCTGACCACTGAAAAACTCATGAGAGACTGAAATGAAGCTATGGGCAGACATCTGTATTTACAGAATATATTTAATACAGTTGTATTTAAGAGGCCTCTGAAGACAGACCCACAACCATGCAAGGTTGGCATCCTAGTCAGAGTGGCATTTTATTAAAAGCACTGTTAAAGAGGGGGGTTATTTTGCCTCTACAGAGTAGCTCCCCATCTCTAATGCTGCTGCTTACAGTCATCCTTCTCAGTACCCAGTAAGGGCAGGGAAAAGATCTAAGGGCTCTAAATCTGGACAGGTCCTCAGGGACACAGCTGCAAGGTAGACAGGAAAAATGTGGACACAGGGAAGAACAGAGCAGACAGCACCAATTACAATATATACATACATATATATATATATATATATACACACACATATATATGCCTAAAAACTTGCCATTCTGAAAAAGAGTTCCAAGCACACATGTTCCTACTACCGAGCAACCAAATCTTACTGCTGTCTGATCCAAATAAACATATCTCAAACTCCTATCGTAGAAATTACTGACACCCTGCTCTAAAAGACTGTTCTGTCATTGTATCTGACTTGAAATTATACTGCAATGCAGATGGGAAAACCCTGCTACAAACACACCAGCTTTAATGCTAGGTCTTGCATTTCATCCCTCAATGTTTAATCTACCAAATTATATACCTCAATAACTGCTGCTTCTTTTAAAAATCAACTTCAGAGATCAAGGCCCAGGTTTTCAACGGCGTATGTAACTCACTCCCACCCTTCATAAAGCCTTGGCCACAGACACTTTACTAAAGCTCTGTCTAAGAACATAATACAACAAAAGACTTGGAAAATTAAAAATTTAACCAGTAATTAACCATGTTTGATTTCTTACTGCTTAAAAGTAAAAGAAGAAATATTATGATTCTTTTGATGAATCTTCAATGACACTGAAAGAAATTGAATCCGAAATCTCAAAGTTTTAATTTACCTATAAATGGCAGTGCCCACACAAGCTTTTCCGAACACAAATGTAATCCAGGCAGCCTCTGTGGCAATCCTGCCAAGTACAAAAGGCGCCGACTACTCAGATTAAACTAAACATTATTGGTCCTGTATGCTACATGAAGTCTCATGCTGACAAAAAAGGATTAATTTAAACCATTTATTTTAAATAACCAAATGGCCTTCTGGTGTAATTAGCCTTCTTTCTTTCCAACTCACATTTTGCTGTTTGTTTGTTGATTTTTTCAAGTGAGTCTTTAACCAGTTAGCAGTGCTTGTAGTTACGTACCTTAAAATATCAAAATATCACTCAGGAGTGCATACGAACCTGGCTGTCCTTCCCACTCTGTGGATGTAGGTGTTGGCATCTTCTGGACAATCGAACTGAATGACCCAGTTCACTGCTGGAAAGTCTGTGGAAAGAAAAAAAGAGAAGTTCAATTTTAAGCTCTCCGCACTGAAAATCCTCCCACTCAGGTTAATGATTATTTTGAGCATTCCTTCCTATAAGGACTATCATTTAGATAGCAATTTATAGACACTGCCTGCATGCAACCTCTGAATTAAAAATAAAACTAATTGCATGTATTAGCACATTATAAACAATCATCCTCTTCATCAAAGGAAGTTCAAATTACGGTGTCTCCATTTCCTAAGTTATGACAGTGCAATGAGTGGAACATAATTTCACACTTGACAAGACAAGATGGATGCTTTGTGTCATACATACAATAATAATAAAAAAAATCCTACAATATTTATTAAATAATAGCATTTGACCTACTTTTACCTAGAATTTCATTATCCCAGTCTATTGGGAACCAAGTGAGCTGCGGCCAGACACCAGCGCAACAGCGAGCTATGTTGAGAGGGGCTGTGATGCTTTCTTACAAGAGGGAGAGGGAGTCAGCAACCTGGACCAACAACTCAATATTCCAAGTGATTTTTAGCTCTAAAAGGCCATGTCCAACTGCTGCATTTCATGCACCTTGTAACGAGCCACTGTGACTTCCCGAGCAAGTCTGCTCAGCCCAGGCAGCCAAGCCCACATTAGTTCCCCCCCAGCAGCACTTCAGCCACACAGGAGGCACAAAAAACATTTTCCTTTCTGCTCGCTCCCGTTTTGGAGCTCTTCCCACCTCCCATACGCCCTAACAAAGCCTTCCCTTTTGGGCAACGAAGGTTGCTACCCCGAAGAAACACAACTCCTGACAAAGTGTCACACGCAGCAAAGTATTTGCAAAAGCTTTAACTAAAGAGGAAATTATAGCACAGTCATTTATGACCACAAGAAAGAAAAACTTGGGCCAAATCAGCTCCTATGGAATATCACTGGTTTTGCCTCATCTATTATTTTGCCCCATATGCCCCAAAATCTCACACGCAGTTCACAGACACAGAAATTTCTCTTAGATTATTTATAGACTTTAAAAAAAGGACAATTTTCACTGTCTACTTTAGCAAAACGGCATTACAAGACTAATGACAGTCTAGGTCACTCAGAGACAGACAGGGAAACTGCACCTCTCCAGCAAAGCAATGCCAGGAGCCTGCGAGAAGCACATTGCTCCCTTCTGAGATACCATAACGAGCTTTAAATAGAGCAGTAGCAGCCTGAACTTTCATTTCTAAGAAGGAAATGGCCTCAAGAGCGTTCTGGTACTGACAAAGTCTTGCCAGGATTGCCTCCTCCCTGCTGAATACTCTGTTGCTCTGCTGGGCACCTACCAAGGCCGCGAGCTGCGATGTCCGTCGCAAAAAGAACAGCCGCCTTTTTCCGAAGGAAGCAGTTGTAGACTTCCATTCTCTTGATCTGGTGCTGCTTGCCGTGCAGGGCCAGAACGGGCACGCCGGGCTGCAGCTTGCAGAACACTCGGAACAGGTACTGCACCTACCAGCCGAGACACGCGATTAAAAGAAAGAACCATAACACCCCATGGCAGGGAGGGTATTCGGTGGGCAGCTACAGTCGTGGCACATCAAGCAAAACACAATTTGTTGCACATCCAAGACACACAATTCACCATCACACAGGCAGCTCCTTCAACAGGAGAACCACAGGAGGGTTGAGGTTGGAAAGGACCTCTAGAGATCATCTAGTCCAATCCCCCGCTCCAGCAGGGACACCCAGAGCACGGGACACAGGGTGGCAGCCAGGCAGGTTTGGAAGATCTCCAGAGAAGGAGACTCCACAGCCTCCCTGGGCAGCCTCTTCCAGGGCTCTGGCACCCTCACAGGAAAGAAATTCTTCCTTACATGCAGATGGAACTGCCTGTGTTTCAACTTGTGCCCCCTGCCCCTTGTCCTGTCACTGGTCACCGCTGAGGAAGAACATGGCCAAGGCCAGGACACCTTTCCCACTCTAAGAAGGGAGACGTTTGGGGCACCCCTAGTTCCCCTGCACCCAAGAGCCCAAACATGAACCGCAGAGGTGCTGCTTTTACACAGCCCTGGCAGCTTGTTAATTCTTACACTTGCTCTGCAGGCAGTCAGCACCGGCCTCACTCGCTGCTGGTTCCAAGACCAACTGGAGTGGTCTTGGAACTAGACCACAGATGGTCTGTTTAGTGTCACCCACCATGCTGTGGTGCAGTACCAGGGTGCAAGATGATTTCATAGCCAGTAGCTGACTAGTAAGAAACCAGCTACAGAGATAGTGTGTGTTGCATGCTCAGCTACAGCACATATAACTGAGTAGTATAGCTCATAACTGAATAGTAGTAGCTACTACTCAGTAGCCAACAGCAAAACTATAGAAATACTGTAATCTCTTGCACAAGGGCAAGAATCAAAACAGATAATTAGCCTACAATTATCTGCTGAACATGTATAATAAATATACCCAACACAGAGAGTAGCCAGAGAAAGAAATATCAAATGACATTTGCAAAAAAAACTTCAGAGCAGCACTCCCAGGACAGCTACACAAGCAGCCACTTGAAGCATTCCATCCTCTACAGCTGTCAGGAAAACCTCTCTGTACACTATTTCATAATTATATTTTATTCATAGCAAGCTTTCAAAGCTTCTTAAAAGGGCAGGTAAGTCTCTTAAATACCCTGTACCCCAGCTAGGCCATGGCCCACCAGACAGAACGGGCTGGCTCTGAGCTCCCTGATCTCTGCTCTCCTCTCCAGGAACAGGGCTCTGCACACAGGACACATCCCTGAGGAGCCTCCCCGTGGCTCCTGCCAGCCAGGCTTACCTCTTTACAGCTTGCAAAAAACACAATGCTCTTCTTTTTCAGGTGACTCCTCAGGAACGAGTATAACATGTTTATTTTCTGTTGAAGCTCACAGACGATGTAGTTCTGGTCCAAAGTTGCTGGGGTACTACAAGAGAAAACTAAAAGTTCATTTATATCCCATGGTTTTCATAACATTAAGAAAAGAAAAAGTAACTATACAGGCACAGAATATCTGAAAAACTACTGACCTTTCCCTCAAGTCACGTATGTTAAATGTGCAGAAAAAATAATAAATAATGACAAAAGAGGTTGGGAAGTTCCCCCACTAGAACGAACAAGTCTCAGCAGCTCCACTGGAAAGCTACTCCTGAAAGACCTAGCAGTTTGCTTCCTAAAATCCCATGGAAGAGGAAGACAAAAAATAATTTGGGGCTTTACTCCTCAGCACCCAGGCAAACTCCCTCCGTGTCTAAGCAGCGACATTCAAATTGCCTTGACTTAAACTGCAATCTCGCCTATTAGTCCTATTAAAGCATCATCTGTGCTCAAGGCAATGTCAAAACACAGCCTAATCATGCACAAAAAGGCACTGAGGTATTTTTACTGATCACACTGACATGAAAAGTGACTTTGTGAAGCTCCAAATTGTCATTTTACCTCACCCCTCAGTTCTCTACAAAGTAAGGAAAGAATATTCTTTGACATATTTGCCCTTGAAATATTTAAATGCTCTCGTCTCACAGTCCCTCTACTCCACCTCAGAGCAAGCAAGGGTATTTAAATTACTTCATTTTATTGAAGGTGCCACATGAGAGAAAGAAATTACACGACACTGCTCTAAGTTTTACTCCTCTAGTCACTTTCAATTATGCCACAGTACCTTTCTCCCTGTAAATCTTTCACAGGAAGCTATTTCCTTAAGCTAACCCCACACTATGTACAAAGGCAGTAATTCTAGAACAAATTAGTATTTTACTTTTCTGATTTAGTTCATTAATTAATTGCTCCTCCCCAGATGTTTCAAAAGCTCCAATGTGCTTTAAAACATACTTTACACCCGTTTCCAAAAACCTGCATTCTTGTGTAGTCAGTCCTCAAACAGAAAACTAAATTAGGCTTCTACATCCTGCTCAGCTTAGACAAAAAGGTATTATCCACACCTTTTCTAGCAAATGTATTTATCTGAGATCCATTCTTTATGATTAGCACTCTTAGTACTATTAATGCTGTTTTCAGTATAATTAAAAGACATTATGGAGTCAAACAGTTAAAAGCCTGTGTAAGGAATTAAGTTCTACAGTTCATTTTGCTCATTATTCCCTGCTTGCTCTTGGTTGGACTATTCTACTACTGCTCTTCACCTTCCTCCGCCTGCATCCTACATGTGGAAATGCATATTTCATGGAAGAGCAAAACTGAACCATTCAAGTCCATAAGTTATATGTCACTCTGAGACTAGAGCCCACAGAAATGCAAAATTTGAATAGTGGACTTCACTTAAATTTTGAGAGAAAAAAAATAAATGTGATGACACTGTGCACCTTTTTACATTTTGCATGTGCAATTTTTTAGGCTGGCCAGACCACATGCAGCCAGGCAGGAACACGACCAGTTTACTGGACATGCACAGGGCTGGAGTCCTGACCACACAGAGCAAATGCTCAGACTCACATGGACACAGGTCACACAGTTCCTAAGGACATCCGATACCAACCACACAAACAAGAGGGTCTTTCTGCACATTCCTTGGAACACCTGATTCAAAGACACACAGAAGAATGGTATTGGTGCAACAAAGATAGAACAGTGGTCCTGCACAGGGAATACGATGACAGGAAAGGAAAGAAAGCCAAAGAACAGAAAAAGTAACAACCAAGAAAGGGTTGCTACTACTAGAAGACTGTTCTGTCCAGAATTTTACCCACTTTTGGAACTATTTCGTCAGAAAAAAAAACTCGCAGTCAGAGTAGTCCCTGGGAAGCCACAAGGAAGGTGCAGGTTCAGCTCCCTGTAATAAAATCAGTCACAACTAGTAACCTCTTCTCTGAAACCACCTTAATTCCAGAGAGGCAGGTGACAGGACCAGAGATAGAAGGAAGGAGAGAGATGTACGAGTCCCAAGCAGCTAAGCAGGATCAGCA